CTGTTCTTGTGTAATCATTGAACTGAGTCTCATTAGACATTTTTTTTAAATCCCTGCATTTCAAAATAAAGCATTTATTGTGAAAAGTTTACAGGAAGTTGGTTAATCATCTTTCACATAGTTTTTATAGTAGCTGCTGCCATCTAGTGGCAACACTATGTCACTACAAAATACAGCATGATTGAAAGGCACGGTGGTTCAGTGGTTAGCGCTGTCCCCTCACGGAGAGGCGGTTCCTGGTTTGAATCCCCGTTTCTTTTCGTTGTCCTCGGTCAGGTCGGAAACCGTCGTTTAACATCCAGTGTCTGAGGAGGCAGGGCAGCAATGACGACCTGCCGATCCCCGGGACGTATCACCCCACCTCCCCGCCACGCCGCGCACGCATGCAGGTAACACACACACACACACACACACCCACACACACACAATAATACACACAGGCTGAACAAGTCGTCTTTACCCTCCTCCTCATCCTCCTCTTCCTCCTCCTCCTCCTCAGCAATCTTTCAACAGTTACGAGTCTCATCACTCTTCTGGGCGTTCCCCCGCGGCCTCCTCTGCATCCTGGGCGAACCCGTGTCCTCGCCGCGGCCGCCTCCTCTACGCTCCTCTCATCCTGGTGGAGGAGGAAGGAAGCCCCCCCTGGGGAGGAGGAGGAGGAGGCGGAGTTGGAGGAGGAGGAGAAATGAAGAAGGGAGTAGGAAGAGGTGAGGAGACAATGACACGACTAAATACGTTCCATTTAATTTAATTTAATAGGAGCAAGAAGGGACAGGTAGAGGAAGAAGGGACAGGTAGAGGAAGAAGGGACAGGTAGGAGCAAGAAGGGACAGGTAGGAGCAAGAAGGGACAGGTAGAGGAAGAAGGGACAGGTAGGAGCAAGAAGGGACAGGTAGGAGCAAGAAGGGACAGGTAGGAGCAAGAAGGGACAGGGAGGAGCAAGAAGGGACAGGTAGAGGAAGAAGGGACAGGTAGGAGCAAGAAGGGACAGGTAGGAGCAAGAAGGGACAGGTAGAGGAAGAAGGGACAGGTAGGAGCAAGAAGGGACAGGTAGAGGAAGAAGGGACAGGTAGGAGCTGGTAGGATTATTATGGACCGATGGGTCTGAAATGAAGTATCAAGTAAAGAAATAAAATAAGAGCCAGGTGTGTTTTTGTCTGTCATCCACCAGGTGTCAGTGTGACAGGTGCAGCACCCAGACCGGCCTGGTACGGTGGCCCTGCAGGGACATCAGGTAGGAGGGATTTAAAACAGAAATGGAGGGAAAAAAAACAGATTATCAACATCTTTATTACAATTATATCAAAGATGTTTTAACAGATGTTTTAAATAAGAATTATGTTCTAAAACTTTAGTTTAAATTGCAGAATCATGTCACTTATGATCTTTGTTATTTTAATCGTCTACTGTTGACCACATGAAGATTTGAGGACAGTGGGTTTATATCCGGATCTTCAGTTATCAGAGAAATGAGCTAAAGTTGCAATTTAGACAGCATGCACAAGTTGAACATTGGAAAACAGAAATTTGCGCTTCTTAGTTTAGTAGGTCAAAATCGGCAAAGTGTTTTTGCAGTTTGGACGGCGTGCAGGAGTTTGGTTCCAAATGTTTGGCAATTTTTATTAATTAAAAAGAAGAAATTGAAAGAGTTTTTTTTTGTTGCAGAAGTATTAAATATTTATAGATATAGTTTGATTTTTACTAGAATAGTATGAAAGCTTAAATCCTGTTATTTACACTTTTTGTTTGTGTGTCATGTGACTGTTTGTGTCGTAGCTCCGCCCCCGTACAGAGCGTACACCACCCTCAGAGTCCCGTCGCAGCTCGGCGCTCAGCTCACGGAGAAACGAGGATCAGCTGACAGTTTGGTGGAGGCGGTGAGGAAACATCGATCGATTTCAAAAAAATTGTTTTTTTAAATATATCATCGCTGATTGGTCGATCTCTCTCCGCAGGTTCTGATCTCTGAGGGTCTCGGTCTCTACGCTCGGGATCCGAAGTTTGTGGCGTTTGCGAAGCGAGAGATCGCAGACGCGTGTCACATGACGGTGGATGAGATGGAGTCCGCTGCCAGCGACCTGCTCGGCACTGGGAGCCACGGTTTACTGAGCAGCGCTGCGCCCGACCCCGCCGCTCTTTACAGTGACGAGGAGCCAATCAGGACGGGCCGTGACGAGGACGAGCTGGCCGACGAGATGACCTGTGTGACTTCATTCTGATGGGCTGGCACAGTGGACCAATCAGGGACAAGACTAGGAGGGCATCACTGACTGGCTGGACATTTAACCAATCACATGACGAGGATTGGAGGCGTGTCGTCTGAGGATTTCTGACCAATCAGAAAAGAGATTATAAAAGTAAACTGTTATTATGGAGGTCAGTAGAGTTGGTGTTTGGGACAGATTTCAGTTAAGAAAGGACGAAAAGGAGCGAGTTAGTTAATTAGTTAAGAAACGTTTAAGATAGGAGGTGAAGAAGAAAGGATGCTGGGCTGAAAAAAGGAGAAGAAGAAGAATGTGATGGATGAAGACAAAGACAAAAAACATGAGAGATGATTTAAAGGAAACAGAACAGACATCGTCAGAGTCAACTGACAAACAATTAAAGATGGCCGCAAGCAGAGTGGGACTCTGCGCTGTTGTGTCGTCATGGCGACAGGTTTCATCAGCTAGTTGCTTAGCAGCACAGGATTCCAGTTTACCCACAATGCATTGATGACACTTTGACAGGTTATCACAGTAGGCTACTGTTAAAGAAGGAAGGTTAGCATTGGGCTGTAGCTTAAAATGCTAAAAGCACACCTTCAGAAAGCTAGCTAAACTCTCACACAGTGCTGTTAGCTTGTGTTTTAGCATTTACGCTCTGTTAATTTGATAAAAGATGACAGCATTAGCATAGGCTTACTTGTTGCAGAAAGTTAGCCTAGCTACATTAAAAAGCTAAATAAAATAAAATACACCTCTAACTGAATTGAATGCTAATTCAATTCAACAGTAACAACCAGCAGATAAGGAGCTAACTAGCTTCTACCAAACAGTGCTAGCTAACCAGAGGAAGCAATAATGATGTCAGAGGCAGTTAGCCTAACACTTAGCGCCAACATAAAACAAAAATTTGCCTTTTTGTTGTGATTGGTTAGCTTTAAACGCTAAACCATTCTCTGCCTAAAAGCAGAATGTTTACAGTAAGCTAGCTAAGCAAGCTAACAGCCACTCACAGCTGTGTTTAGCTAGTAGCCTACTCAATACAAAATGTCACAATATGAATTAAGTTAGCATCATCTTTGTTTTAGCAGCGGCCCCTGCTGGACGCTAATTAAAAACAAAAAACATTTTCAAATTACGTCAACAACCGTCTGAGGCTAATGAAGACAGCCGAGCTAACACGTGCTAGTCGGCTACATTGATAGCATGTTAGCTTCTGTTTGTCTGGTCCAAATCTGACTGCTTTTTCTAATGTTAATGTTTTAAGAATATGAAACAATAACCACTCACTAAAGGAACAAACGGAGAGACAGTTTGTTAGGATGAACAAGTATGCAGCTCAAAATGCTAACATGCTAACAAGCGCAACACATCTTTCTAATGCTAACTACATGAAGATAAAACGACGAGGCGTCAGTGAACATCACGTTCTTCAGAGGTGCACACACGAGTCGATGTTTAAGAGGACGTTTCTGAGATTTTATACCGATGTATTTGAAAGCTGTTAAATGACGTGTTGAACTTCCTGCTCTGTGGTTTCTTGGAGCAGCATGCAGGATTATATTTCTCATCTTTTATTAACGTGTATTTTTATTCTCATAACTTGAGATGTTTGTCTCGAATCAGACGACGAACTGAAAATACTCGTTTGTGTCTTTGTTGGTTTTTTTATTGGACCGAAGAAACTTGAGTGTTTGTTCAGTGTGTTTTCTAAATGTTTGATATTTTTTATTCTGACAGAGAAAAACTGTGATCATTTCTCAACAGCTGGTGTGTTTATGTCCTGTCTGAATTTATGTGTTTCCATCTCCTTTAGTTTTTTTCTTACTGACACTTTGGACAGTTTCCCAGCAGTTAAGGGCTTTTCAATTCCACGCCTGGATTCTCCAAAAAAGACGATGAAACTGCCGTGACACCTAGTTTACCTCAAATAAAGACTGAAACAAGCTTCTCTGTGACTCCTCACTGATCTTCTGTTACTTTTAGCTTCTTAAGTTTGCTCAAACATCGAAATAAGATGTTTAGATATATGGTCATATTTACATTCATTCATAAATAAATAAATAGATTTTATGAGATTTTTATTAGTTTCCCTGTTTGAGATTTGCTCAAAGGAAAAGAGCTGTGTTTCAATCTCTGGTTTGTATTTGATGCTGTGTGTGTTAGAGCTCCCTCTGCTGGCTGAATGGAGTCACTGCAGCTGTTCAACATCTTCACAAACATTAATTAGAGGTTCAACATCTGGACTCAGAGCTGAACATCTGTGTGCATTTCTGCCCGAGGATTTCGTTAGCTTCAAGAGAATAACCAGATTTAACAACACAAACCTTTTCTTTATTTATTGCTCTTCATGTCGTTCACACACAGGGAGGAGCTTCACTGACGTCAGGAGGTCAAACCAAACAAACCTGAGGTCGTTTGTCCCGTCAGCTGTTGGGTTTTTAAATGAGCTGTAGGCATTGTGTCCTTTATCTCACTCACGTCTATCATGATGATATCCATCGATGGTCGTTGTGTTTTTTTTAAATGTACTTAATGTGATATCATTTATTAATCTGAGGGTTTAACACTGTTACTGAGATACATGCAGCACAGACACACATGCACTGTGAACATGTGTTAGTGGTGAGGCTGCTACACAGGGAGCTCACCAGAGACCCCGGTTGGGGGTTCGGTGCCTTGCTCAAGAGCACCCTGGCAGTACTCAGGAAGTGCCCTGGCACCTTCCAGCTACCAGACCAACTTCCATATTATGGTTGGCATCGGGACTTGAACCAGCGACCCTCCGGTCAGTGGCGGTCTGTTGGGGCCCTGTAAGCAAAAGTCAAGGGGAGGCCCATCATGTCTGCCACACTCACATACTCCTCTTTCTTTTTTCTCTCCTAGATGACGACAGTGAGTGCTTTCAGATGGGGCCCCCTTAGGGAGGTTTACCACTGTCATTGCAAAATCTGCACATTTTAGGCAACTGTTTTGATTTAAGTTTGAGAGCTCTCAGGGAGCCTCCGACTGGTCTGGAGCCCCAAGCAGTTGCAAGTTTATTTATGTCGCACATTTCAACAACAAGGTAATTCAAAGTGCTTCACACAAGACATCAAAAAGCATCATGACAGAGGAAAGAAAAGAAACATTTAAATCACTGAAATTAATAAATCTGAAAATATGTTCAAATAAAAATAATTTAAATTAAAAAATATATAAAAAATAAAAGTAAAGAAATTAAAAGAGTTAAAAAAGAATAATAATTAAAGTGCAGAGTAAAAGTTTAAAATCTTATTAAAGCTGATAATTAAGAAATTCCAATCAAAAAAATAAATCCTGGTATGTGTAAACGTACATTCAATAGCACATCAGACCTACGTAACACTTTTCTAAATACTCAAAGATGCTTATAAATATATTTATATTTAGTGTTTGTACACCTCTTCAATCATCATCATCACCTGCATCAACACGTCAACACCTCCTACTACTGCCATGACGTCATCACTAGCCCCTCCCCCGATTCAGTTTTAATTCCTATAATTGACTTTTTTTAAACATACTAACATGATATATGATTTTTTATATTAACGACATTTAGAATATGATGTGTTAAATATTATATATCATTAATAAACAGGGTGACATGTAGAGGTGTGATTAACCCTTTCAGCTCCTCTGAAGCTGCTGAATTGTAATTCATAATAAATAAATAATTAATGACGTATACTGAAGCGGCCCCCCCCTCCTCCCCCTCCTCCCCCCTCTTCCTCCTCCCTCCTCCTCCTCCCTGCATCTCCTCTCTGTGCTCTCGACAGGCAGCAGGATGGACGTCGTAAATCAGGTACAAACGTTCAGCATCCTCCTTTTATTTCTTAATTCTGATTGTCATTTTCACATTATCATCGTATGTGTGTGTGTGTGTGTGTGTGTGTGTGTGTGTGTGTGTGTGTGTATGTGTGTGTGTGTGTGTGTGTGTGTGTGCGTGCGCGGTTCGGGGTGTGTTCGTGTCGTGTTTCGGGGCGGCCCCCCGGGATTCGTGTTTGTGTCCGTCTCCTGGTGGAGGCTCGGTGCGTCGGGCCGCAGCACGGAGAGATGACACATTAAGATGAATCAGAGATATCAGGAGGATTTCTCTCTTTTCTTTTATTCATTGTTTCTCATAAATTAAAATGAGACACGCAGCTGGTGCGGCGCAGTTTTAATAGAATGTAACGGAACCACGCACACGGTGCTCCCGGGGAGGAGCGGCTGGATGTGGGCTCCTCTGCCCTGCGCGCTGCCTGCAGGACAAGCAGAAACAAAAACATCCCGATTTCAGAGCAGCTCCGTGTTCGCGTGATGAAATAATATTTCAGCTGTGTGTGTGTGTGTGTGTGTGTGTGTGCGTGCGTGTGTGTGTGTGTTTGTAAAATGGCAGCCGGGAGGAGGAGGAGGATCCTGATGGTGCTGATGTTGTTGTTGTTGTTGCGGGTCCAGCCGGTTCTGGGTTTTTTTACGCATTCTCACCGTTTGTCTGCCAAAACCATCCCGTTATTCGGACCCGGCTATAACCCGGTTTAACCCGCTCTTACCCGGGATCACCCCCCCCCCCCTCCTCCTCTCCTCCTCCTCCTCCTCCTCCTCCTCCTCCTCAGCAGCTGCAGCCGTAAGATGGAGACCGAGTGAAAAAACACTTTCTATAATAAATTCAGCTGATATGAAATATTACTGTGAAATACTTCGGATCTATAAAGAGCAGATTATCCTTTTATATTTTTCACACATTACCTTCCATCTTAAATCTAAGACCTATAATAATATTAATCTTCAGATCTGTTCTGTGTTAACACTTTGTGATGCAGTAATCTCCCACCACAGATTTCACTTTTGGGCTTTAGTATTTTTTATTATTTCTTCAAATCCTGCGCTCTTCGTTGTTATTTCTGTATTGATATTTATAAGTCGTTTTCCATATGTCTCTGTCTGCTGTATTCACCATGTAGCCTATCAGAGCGTCTTTAACGACCACATGAATAAAGTGTTTCTGACGCGGAGGTCTTTACTGTCTGACAGGCCGATGTGTGTTCTCACTGTTGGGACATTTTAAAGAACCCCCCCCCCCCACCCCCCGAGTTAAATGTTCATTTTTCTTCCAGTACATTTAAAGAAATCATCATCTGCAGGGGCGTGTCCAGACGTTTTGGACTGGGGGGCCGACTTGTGCAGGGATGGCCTGAAGTTTGTGCACACACATGAATGAAGAGCGTTTATTAACCCCTTATTCTGTCTGCACTAAACGTTTAAGTAACACAAGATAACATCGATGTAAATCTTTTAAACTTCTAGGACTCAAAAACAATTTCTACGTCAAAAGTCATTATTTAAATCTGCACACTGAAAACTGCAAGCTGCCTGTTGCAACACAGCCTTCGATGCAAGTCCCACCTCTGGCAAGGCAAGAAGCCACTCATAATTAAGCATTATGGGGTGGCCACCCCTGGCCCCCCCTTCTGGACACGCCCCTGATCATCTGAGTGGTTTAACATAACTGTTTTTTCTTTTGCTGTAAAACAATTCAAACGTCTGATGAATCATGCTGCACTACTAATGTTTCAACCTTCAATGATCCAATCAAACATTAAGTCCCGCCTTCTAGCCCGTTTAAGTAGGAAATACGTCACGACACGGTGGTTAGAAACTCTTGAAGAAACAGAACAGTTATTCAGTTATAACAGTTGAACCTTTAAAATCTGCTCATTTATCTGTAAGATCCAATAATTCACTATTTGTCACTATAGATGTGTAGAGAGTGAGATGATAAAGGTATCTTACTCTCTGATCATTAAGGAAACATGCTATGTTGAAGTGCTGGCTTCTCTGACAACAATGCAGCAGCCAGTATGTCCTCCTTCTAACTTTACATTCTGCTCCTGAATGCTCTGGATTTGTTTGGACCAGAGAAGGTAGGCGCTTTTAAGACGACCCCCTCACACGGCCGTTTTGGACACCCCTCGGTTTGTCAGATATGAGAGCAGTTATCAGGTCAACAGGTGTTGCAGTGATGGAAGCGGTCAAGAGAAGTGGTTCAGATAGAAGTGATTGTACCCGACCTAAAAAGCCTCTGCATGTTTCTAATAAGCTCCACGAGCAGAAACGTGCTCAAACTAGGATCAATATTGGAGATGCTTTTGAAAAATGGAGAGAGGTTAGAACACAGAAAGGTTTACAGACCCATGCAGAGCTGGATAAACACTGAAGCTTCAGAGTCCACCACATGGTGACCTGAGTGAGCATCCACTCTACAGAGGAGGGGGGGAGACAGCTCTCTATGATGTTTAGAATTTAGACTGCAGTACCCATTTTAAACACTAGGTGTCAGAGTTACATACTGCTCCTTTAAACTATTTCAGACTGGAGTTATTGGATGTTTAATATTTATAATAACTGATCATCAGTTTAAATCATGAATAAAAAAATGTTCATATTTAGTTTTTTTGTTTATGCAGTTTATTGATGTTTTAATGGACTCGGAGTGAAAACTGATCCGAGGTCTGATTATTGAATATGAGGTCAGACTGAAAACAACAGAGAGGAACCTGAGAGCAGAAATCGACCAGTTTGTTTCGACACACAATAATCCGTCTGCGCGTCCATCAGTCTAATTTAAAATGAGTCTCTGAGTTCAGACCGACTCCTCCTCGACTGTTTGTCCTGTTGATGCTGGATTCTGTTTTTAGGATGTGTGATGTCATAAAATCATTAAACTCTCTCTCTCTCTCTCTCCAGCTGGTGGCTCAGGGGCAGTTCAGGGTGCTGAAGCTTCCTCTGGGCTTCATCAAGGCCTTAGAATGGGTGAGTTCATCAATCCTCTTTTATTATCCTTTATAAAGTCACACACACGACCAGGTTCACGCTCTCCAGGTGTTTCACCAGCTGAGAAAGTTCCAGCGTTAGGCAGAAGTCACCCTTTAAATCGGACACCTCGCTCCTACAGTAGGAGGTGTGACGTCCTCTGTAAAATCCGGTTGTCATGGTGATGGTTTAGAAAGGATGAGGAGGAGCAGAGGGTTTCACCGTCTGTTCTCCGGAATCCATCCCTCAGAAATGTTTGATGACTTTGTTTTTACTCCTGCTTTAGTTCTCCCAGATCATTTTCATCGTCCAATCACAGAGGGCCGTTAAATGACCCTGATGGTGTAGTGGCAGATCTCACCACTAGATGTCCCTGTTGTTATCTGACACTAGCTGCAGATGAAGGCTGCAGGCTTTAGTCCTCTCCTCATCAGGATGCTTTGTCATGTCAAACAAACATTCAGAGTTTGAACGTCGCTGAACAGAAGTTATTTTCATTTTCTCGTTTGACACACACACACACACACACACACACACACACACACACACACACACACACACACAAGCAGGGATTGGACAGAAAGTCTGACTGTGACCATCTGCTCAGTGTGTGTGTGTGTGTGTGTGTGTGTGTGTGTGTGTGTGTGTGTGTGTGTGTGTGTGTGTGTGTGTGTGTGTGTGTTCTCTGTAAGCTGACTGTATGATGATGATTTTATGTATTTTCTTGTAAATATTTCTGTTGTGTAAATCGAACCTCCAGCTGGTCGGAGTCTCTCCGTTCAACAAGCTGTTAGCTTAGCATTTAGCCTCTCTTAGCTCCATAGTAACCAGTTAAATGTCAGAATCATAGAAACACAAACTAAGCTTCTTCACGGGTTAATGAACGCTGGTGATGCTGCTGCTCAGCGTCAGTTTAAATCTGTGACTCTCTGTAGATAAAAGTGATGAGTCATCGTCCTGCAGGAGAGACACTCTTTGTTTTTGAACGTGTGACTAAAAGTCCCGGAGCAGGTTGTTCCTAAATCTTATTTATTCATAACGTTTTGACATCACTCTTCATAACCTCCTTTACAGACGCTCGTTTGGAAGTGTGTGTTTGTGCAACAAAGATGCTAACATGCTAACACACAGCCAGACTTGTTAGTACAGTAACTCATTAAGAATCTCTGTGTTACGTCTCCTCCTCCTGCAGTTGTTTGCCATCTTCGCCTTCTCCACCTGTGGGAGTTATTCCGGGATGTTCCGGGTGAAGGTGGAGTGTAAGAACCGGACGGAAAGCAACCTTAATATAGAGGTGGAGTTTGAGTATCCGTTCAGGTGAGAACAAACATCTTTAAAGTCTTTCTGTGATTCTTCACACTTAAATATAAATCAAGTATCTCCTCTGAAAATAACTCTGTGAGTCATGACTGTCTACAATGGGTGTAACACCCGAGTCCCACTGTCTGTGATGTTTTCAGAGTTTTCAGAGTCCTATCTTCACTTTGTTTACATCGCCCGGACGGCCGGCTGACTCCTCCCCTCGTGTATAAAAGTTGTTTAATTGAGGGACTAGAGAAAAGAAGAATAACATACTGTACTCACTGCTTAACTGTGTTTCTAGATCACGCTCATTTCAGGTAAATTTACATGCAGTGTGAAGATACCAGCATAATAAAGATCACTAGCATTAGCATGCTAACACAACAATGCAGCGTGAGTTGTTTTGGTTTCATGCTGGTGCTCAAGGGCGACATCTGCTGGATCAAAACATCACATATAAAGACTTTAAGTGAAGTCGCTGACGTCACTCCTGCCTCTCCTCCTCTCAGACTGCACCAGGTGTATTTCGACGCCCCGACCTGTAACAAAGGGGAGACGGAGCGCTGCTTCCTGGTCGGCGACTACTCCTCCTCGGCCGAGTTCTTCGTCACCATCGGCGTGTTCGCCTTCCTCTACGCCACGGCGGCGCTCAGCATCTATGTCTTCTTCTACGAGAAGTACAAAGAGAACAACAAAGGACCGCTCATCGTAAGTGTGACGGTCAGAAAACACCTGCTGACAGGTGAGCTCTGACAACACCTCGCTCAAACTGTGTGTGTGTGTGTGTGTGTGTGTGTGTGTGTTCAGGACCTCGGTGTGACCGCCGTCTTCGCCTTCATGTGGTTGGTGAGCTCTGCGGCGTGGGCCAAAGGTCTGTCTGACGTGAAGACAGCGACCGACCCGGATGAGGTCATCACCTTGATCTCGGCCTGCAGAGAGGAAGGCGAGGGGCACAGCTGCCGTGAAGTCCACGACCCGGTCATGTCTGGACTCAACACCTCCGTGGTAAGATCCTCAGAGATCACGAGTACTCGCCGGGTCAAACGAGTCCGACGTCTTCTGTCCGGGTTCAAGACCGAACAACACGTCTGAACTCGTTGGCGGTCAAACGGCGGCGTCTGTCTTTTTGTGTAAATAAAAAATGTCTGCGTCTCGTCCTGCAGGCTTTCGGCTTCATCAACCTGATCCTGTGGGTGGGCAACCTGTGGTTCGTCTTTAAGGAGACAGGCATCATCGCTCCCTTCATGCGTGCTCCACCTCCCCAGGACAAGTCCGCCGCACCAGACGCCTACGGCCAGCAGGGGGCGTACGAACAAGACCCGTACGCAAGCAACCAGGGAGGCTACCAACCTGACTACAACCAGGTGATTCATCCTCACAGAGACGTCTCTATAGAGAACAAACCATATGACGTATTTTTGTAGGCCGACCAGGAAGTAGCGTCACCATGGCGTCTAAAGAGGCGTCTAAACAGAATCCTCCTCTGGGATGTTTTCATTGGATTTTGGATCATTGCAGAAAATAATCTCTGTGTTAAACACACGTTTCTGAAGCGTAGGCGTTTTGTTCAGCAGGATAATCTTCACAGATGAACGCCATTTTTATGATGTTTGAAGCGTTAATGCGGCTGACAGAAGTAAAAAGCTAACGTTATGCTACAAGCTAACGACACCACGGTGGGATGATTGTGACGTCACTAGCGTTATGCTTCAGACGATCTACGATAAACTAATCCACGTAGCTTAATAAATAGTTTACTAACATAATATTCACCTTAACCTAAAGATTAAACCTACAGGAGACATCTCCGACTAGTGAGAGAGTTCCCGCCCTCTGTGTCCGGCGTGATGACCTTTAATGTCCCCGACAACCACTGTAGTCACATTTAGCCACTTGTTAGCAACCGCCTTTTTAAAGACGAGTAAAAACTTCAAACTTCACAAGTGGAGGTATTACCTAACGTAGTTTATGTGCTCTAACAAAACACCAACATCTCTTCAGCTTGTGTTAACCACAGACCTTATTTCAGGCGTCTAACCACAAACACATTCAAAATCCCCGTTGACTTTTAGATGTTAGACCCCATGGCGCTCAGATGCTAACTTACTTCCTGGTTTTAGGACTCATTCCTGTGGCGCTCTGTAGGTACGATCAGGTGTCAGGTATGATCCAGTCAGGTAGGTTGGTAGGTTAAAAAGTCGGCACTCGAGCGTTTAATAAACAAAGTGATATCGAAGGCAGTGGCGTGCTGAAGCTCTGTTGTTTCTGTCCTGATGATTGTTTTTGTGTTTTCTACAGGATGCAGAGTACGGCCAGCAGGGCTACGGCCAGCAGGGGGCGCCCACCTCCTTCTCCAATCAGATGTGAAGTGACAGGAAACAGGTGAGTCAAACAGGAAGTCCAGACTGGGGGGTTGTGATTTAATTCTCATGTTCAGTAACACAATAATCACATGGAGCTTTTTATTTCTACTTATGAGTTCAAACATCACGACCAAACACAAACCACACAGACTGAAGGCTACACCGAGTGTCACTTCCTGCAGATTTTCACAATAAAAGGGGTCATTTACCACATGGAAGATAGACTGTAGGTGAAAACATGTTTTTCATCGGTGCCAGAAAAAGGGCCATTGTGTCATTCTCCTCTTCCAAAAGGGTTCAAACACTTCAACACCCAGAATGCACTGGGCTCTTTGCTATCCATAGGCGTGAAGCTGATATGATTAGCAGGTGTAACGGTTTGTCATGATCCACTGAGAGCTGCAGTGCATTGTGGGCCGGTTTAATATGAACAGTATGTTTAGTTTAAAAGTCTGCGGTTTAACTGAATGTTTGTGTTTCTTTCACAGAAAACGTCGGAGTGAACCAACAGTGGGTCGCCTGCAACCTACCCACAATGCAACACTCCTGTCTTTTCCTGTCTGCAAAGTTAACGGGTGGGGGGAGGGGAAGGGGGAGGGGAAGGGTTTAGATGTTCACTAAAATGAATCGATGTGTAAATGATCAATAAGAGAGTTATAGATAACAATCCACAAACTGAAAAAAACACCAAAAAAAACAACAACAACAGCGACCAATCGAAACGCTCTAAAGAAGAGATGATGTTGATAAGAGTTATTCCTATTTAATCTGTGGAGAGAATGTATGTTTGTGTTGTATAGATATCACTTTGAACAGATATATAATATAGACTCAGCTCTTTATTCATGTTTCCTATTCAGCCCCGCCCACTTTGCTATGCCCCGCCCACAAAATATCAATCATGCGGCAGTCCAGACTGGGTTCATGCTGAGACAAAAACCAGATCAAACTGGATCAGAAGAATCCTCGCTGCCTCCAGCATCACCTCCCTGCTGTTTCCTGTTTGTCTTGCTGCATGTAAATATCAACACAGGAAGTGATGTCATCCTGGAGACGCAGTAAAACCCAGTCTGGACTGCCACCTTCATGGCGATGTCCTGATGACACTGGATCCAAAATGGCTCCTTATCGTTACAGTTTGTACTTTCTGAGTGTTTGATGGATGGGCTCAGCTGTGTGTTACACTCCTGCTGCTCCTGACAGTCACTGAGCAGGGCACGCTGCTCCTCAAGTCACTGAGCAGGGCGTGCCGCTCCTCCAAGTCACTGAGCAGGGCACGGCGCTCCTCCCAGTCGCTGAGCAGGGCACGGCGCTCCTCTAAGTCACTGAGCAGGGCACGCTGCTCCTCAAGTCACTGAGCAGGGCACGGCGCTCCTCCCAGTCGCTGAGCAGGGCACGGCGCTCCTCCCAGTCGCTGAGCAGGGCGTGCCGCTCCTCCAAGTCACTGAGCAGGGCACGGCGCTCCTCCCAGTCGCTGAGCAGGGCACGGCGCTCTCCCAGTCGCTGAGCAGGGCGTGCCGCTCCTCCCAGTCGCTGAGCAGGGCGTGCCGCTCTTCCCAGTCGCTGAGCAGGGCGTGCCGCTCCTCCCAGTCGCTGAGCAGGGCGTGCCGCTCTTCCCAGTCGCTGAGCAGGGCGTGCCGCTCTTCCAGTCGCTGAGCAGGGCGCCGCTCCTCTCAGTCGCTGAGCAGGGCGCGCTGCACAATCGTCCGTCTGAATAACTGCTATCTGCTGGTTCTTTTTGTTTCTGCTCGCTGCTCTTTTGGGCTTCGTTTAGATAAAAAACGATTCCACAGAAAAACCGCTGTGCACACGCACAAACACAACCAACACGCACATGTGCACGTACGCTTCCTTCTACAAACTTCCAGGCGAGTAATTGTCAAGAAAAGCGTTGGGAGGACGTTCGTCATTTTAACTCAACCGAGTGAGCAGCACAATCAGAACTCAGGAGTCGGCCATTGTTTTTGTAGTCCAGCTACTCGGCCACGGCTACTCGCTGTTAGCGTAATGTTTGAAAGCATCGGCGGCGTTTGGAAAAGTTACCGATGTTTCTGTGCCATTTAGACGGCGTGCATTCTGTTGCCGTGGTAACAAACATATCACATGATTTTTGCGAGAATGATAAATTCTGATATGGCGTCGGTTCAGACGGACGTTTCTGCAAACCAACACCGACAGAGTTTCTTTTTTTTTGTATCCGTTTTTTTTTGTATTTTTCTTGAGCTCTCGGCCAATCAGCTGCAGCCGTGAGCTCCTTTAATAAAACAGAAGTCTTTCTAGAAAGTTCTGAGTCTAAAATGTCGGAAAGCGTTCATCTCTACTTCTCCCTTCTGTTTTTCTGTTTGGTTTTTTTTTTGGGAAAGGTGTTTTAGCGTCGGTATCTTCCTCCGCATGGTGACGTGTTTCTGCTCGTGTTGTACAGTAAACTGATGATCGGTGTGACTCTACTTCCTGTTCTCCTGTACAGGTGTGTGTGTGAGTGTGTGTGTGTGTGTGTGTGTGTGTGTGTGTGTGTTTACATCCTCATAACCTGTCCACAATTCTTCTATATCTCCTCCAAGCGCTCTATTTGAACCCTTTTCTTCACCTCCTCTAGACTTTCTCTTCCTCCCTCATTTCTCAACATTTTTCTTTTTCAGAATCTTTTCTCACTTTTCTTTTTTGGCCTTTTTAGTTTTGTTTTTGTCTCTTTTTTCTTTTTTCCTGATCTTCTCTCCTCCTCCTCTTTATTTTCTACTCTGCCTTGCAAAGCTTTGATCACCATCCTCTCCTTCTCTCCTCCTCCCTCTCCCTGTCTCCTTCACTCCTCCCTCCTCTCCTCCCTGTCGTTTCTTCTTCTCGTTCTTCCTCGTGACTCCCCCTCTCTTGCCTCTGTGATGTAACTTTCAGTGTGATGATATTCTATTCAGCATCAGTAACCATGGCGACGGTGTTGACAGTGACGATGATGATGATGTGTGTGTGACTTGTTGCTATGGAGACCCTTCCCTGCTGTGTTTATTCAGTGTAAAGTTTCAATAAAGGACAAACTGGTCTGAGTCTCTGTGTCATCCCGTTCATCAATAAATATTATTTACACAGTAAACAAACGTACGTCACAAACAACGAGTCATGAAGGTCGTATTTCAAACATTCAACGACCTCTGACATCAGCATTCAAACACGTCACAGCTCTCAGGGATGTTTTGTTTGGAGATGAAGGAGTCACTTCACAGCTAGCGATGTTAGCAAGGTCAGGAATAAAAGTGTTGTCATGACGCCAGAGATTTAAAGGTCACATGCAAAATACACTTTACACACGGTACAGAGATCATCGTTCTAAAACACGGGTATCAACAAGTGTCAAAGGATCGACCATTTCGACGTCCTGTTTCAACGTGAAAAAATGTTTTCACAGACAGTTAACCACGTTTTTAACCACGTTTGAAATTCCATCATTTTGCTTTTTTAAATTTAAATTGTTAGGCTTTTATTTTGAAATGTTTGTCCTGTCTTACACTGAGAGTACTTTACTTCCTGTGTGCTTTTATTTTGAAATACAGTAAGGCCCTTCTTGTAGATGGAAGGTTAGGACAGGAAGTTAAGCACAGAAACAGGAAGTGGTTAGGGACCCCAAAGTGAGGTCAAACAGCTCAAAGGAACGGTAACAAAGGTCAATGTGTGATGTCATCAGGTCAATGTGTGATGTCACAAGGTCAATGTGTGATGTCATAAGGTCAATGTGTGATGTCATCAGGTCAATGTGTGATGTCATAAGGTCGGTCAATGTGTGATGTCATAAGGTCGGTCAATGTGTGATGTCATCAGGTCAATGTGTGATGTCATCAGGTCAATGTGTGATGTCATAAGGTCAATGTGTGATGTCATCAGGTCAATGTGTGATGTCACAAGGTCAATGTGTGATGTCATCAGGTCACTGTGTGATGTCATCAGGTCACTGTGTGATGTCATCAGGTCACTGTGTGATGTCATCAGGTCAATGTGTGATGTCCTCAGGTCAATGTGTGATGTCATAAGGTCAATGTGTGATGTCATCAGGTCAATGTGTGATGTCCTCAGGTCAATGTGTGATGTCCTCAGGTCAATGTGTGATGTCATCAGGTGGATATTACTGTGTGAGAGTTTGTTAAAGTGAAATGAGACATTCAGAGATGCAGCAGTGAGACTACAGGGAGACACTGAGGACGAGTATCTACGGAGAGCCTGAAGGGACAAAAGAGCAGGAGAGTTATCTCTTCAGTTTCTCATCGATTCAGAAGCTGTGACAGGATTTGATTTGTCAGAGTCTCTTCCTCATTTCCTCCTCCATTCAGGCTCCTCCTCCATTCAGGCTCCTCCTCTTCCTCCTTGACTCTTTCCTTCACTTATCTCCTTAATTTTATCGATCCTCCCTCTCTCCTCACCCTTCTCACTTGTTATCTCATCTCTCCTCCCCCCTCTCCTTATCCTCTCACTACCTCCTCCTCTCCTCCGTCATCGCTCCTCCCCCTCCCCCTCTCTCTCTCTTTCCCTCTCTCTCCTCTCTCTCTCTCTCCTCTCTCTCTCTCCTCCCCCTCTCTCTCTTTCCCTCTCTCTCTCTCTCTCTCTCTCTCCTCTCTCTCTCTCCTCCCCCTCTCTCTCTCTTTCCCTCTCTCTCCTCTCTCTCTCTCTCCTCTCTCTCTCTCCTCCCCCTCTCTCTCTTTCCCTCTCTCTCTCTCTCTCTCTCCTCTCTCTCTCTCCTCCCCCTCTCTCTCTTTCCCTCTCTCTCTCCCTCTCTCTCTCCTCTCTCTCTCTCCTCCCCCTCCCTCCCCTCTATGTTTTCAGTCGGTGCGGTCAGCGTTGTGTGAGTCAGTGTGTGTGTTCAGTCAGTGGCATGGCGTCTTTCTGCCTCCTGCTGCTCAGCACCGCGCTGCTGCACGCCGCCCAGGTAAGGACGAGCGACACCGTGAAAGAGAGAGAGAAAGTGTGTGTTTTGTATGTGCTGATTTATCGTCGTCACAGTAACCTGATAATGATGTACAAAGATGTCACTGCTCTCTGTCTGCTACCGCTCTGTAAACGCAGTTACATCACTGTGTGTGTGTGTGTGTGTGTGTGTGTGTGTGTGTGTGTGTGTGTGTGTGTGTGTGTGTGTGTGTGTGTTCCATATGGCGTATGATTGATTTGTTGATCTGTTTAATCAGACAAAATTAAATGGAGGCATCAAGAGAGAAGGGTTGTTTGTGTCTCAGATGTGTGTCCGTGTGTGTGTGTGTGTGTGTGTGTGTGTGTGTGTGTGTGTGTGTGTGTGTCCGTGTCCGTGTGTGTGTGTGTGTGTGTTCGTGCAGGCCGCTGCTGTGATCGGAGGGACGCATCATTTCACTTCCTGTCACCATAGAGACAGGAGACTGTAACCCACAGCAACAGGGCCGTCTATTACACAGGTTAATGCAGGTCTCCTGGTACCTGTGTGTGTGTGTGTGTGTGTGTGTGTGTGTGTGTTTCTATCCTTGTAAGGACAAATGGAGACTGTCTCTTAATGTACTTATAAATTGT